CTTGCATTTTTCACACGAGGCCGAACAAAACGTCGTAAATATAAGTCTCGATTCGCGCAAATTTTATTTGCCCGCTTCCGTTCGCCGGCCCGAAAGTTCGGTGATTTCGCTCGGCGGAATCGGCTACCCGTGCAAGTTCCACGTCGAGAGAAAGAAAGAGAGACACAGTCTGAGGAGGGCGAAGAGGGCTGACGCGAGGGACGCGATAGATACGCCGCCCTGCCACGAGGGAGGGCAAAGATTTATGATGCCGGTGCGTCAGCTCGCACGTCTCAATTTCGGGACGCCGCGAGAGTCACGGGAGCTGTTTGCCGCGGCTCTCTCCCTTTGTTGCCCGTCGTGCCGACGGCGAAGGACGCGCGATAAGGGAGAGAGAGGTACGTCGGGGCTAGCGAGGAAAAAAAGAAGGAGAGGAGCCGACGAGATAGCGGCGGACGGACGGGCTGGTGGTGCGAGGAGGCGCGGAATTAATCCGGCCGACGTTTCCCCCGTGTATGCGCGCCGCTTCCGTTTCCGTCCGCGCGCGTACTTCGCCGGAAAATAGTTTCCATCTCGGCGCCCGACAATGGAGTAATTATTGCAATTAGCGAGCTACCTGCCGCTTTTTCGTGCGACCGACTCTCTATCTGTGCGAAAAAGTTGTTACCGGCAGAAGGAGAAAAGGGGGTAGCGATGGTGGTCGATATTTTTGCCGGCAGTCGCTTTGAAAAACGCGATTTCGCCACGCGCATTTCGTCGTAAAGTGGCTCTTAATGATGCTCGTAGCTACATCATTCGCTTTCCCACACCGGACACGCGGTAACTATCGGGCCGAAGTCGCATTTATTACTCGTAAATTCTCCGCCACGATAGTTCGATAGTTACACGATGGTTCGCAAGTTTCGACCTAGAACGCCGGGATTTTCGTCGTTTCCACTTCGTAATAAAGCGACCGTTAGTGCCGGCTGCGACGACCGCTGAATTCCGAATAGCCTTTTAAGTGTGTTGTTTATTCGTTAAAAGTTATTAAGTGTACTTTTACAAGAGAAGTGTACAGTACGAGTATCGAGAAAAGTACCAGCGGATGTATGCGTTCTCCTTTCTTTGACTTTAGCTCCTCTCTCTCTCTCTCTCTCTCCCTCTCTCTGTGTGTTCTGCGCGCGCAGTTCGCACACCCCGGTATTAAATAACGATAAAAACACGCGGGACCCTTTCAATTCGGAGTTAATCCACGCGTTAATTTGTTATCTGGAAATATATCGGCGGCAACGCGCGCAAACACCGATCGCCGAAGCGCAGATATTCGCAGCGAGGTAAACGCGCATATAGAGGCGGCGACACACGGGGCAAAATAAACACGCAGATATTTCAAGTGTCACTTTTTCACATCGTCCGGACTCGCGCATTTTGCCGACACGCACGCAGCGAGATTATCGTGACGCGAGTATACCGGCAGCGCGCGATCACTGTAACAACTATCCAGCCGCGAAGAGTGCGACTCGATGAAAGTTGCAACGAAGCGATCGCTCATCTTCCTTAATGACAGGAAGAAGCCTCCTCTCCTCTTCCTCTCGCTCCTCCTCACACGCACAGAGCCGCGCCGATTTCACCGGCAGCGTGGATACGCGCGACTCGCCGGTTCTCTCGCGAGGACGAAACAGTTGAATCCGTGCAATTAAGTGCATAAACAGGAGAGCGCGCCTCTCGAGGAGCACACATAAGTCTGTATCATAGTTGTCACTTGTCTCACGTGAGATTTTCATTCAGTGTTAGGTCTGAGTTTTTCAGTTGAATAATTACGGGATAATTACAAAAAAAAAAAAGAGAGATAACTCGAAAGTTACTCACTTGCAACACAAAAATTGCCGCAATTCTAATGTTAATACAAGCCATGGAAACTTAATCGTAAAATTTCGACCGAAACTTCGAGCGTTCGTCCATCGTGAGATCTCCGACTCTCGCTGAAAACTCTCAGCACGAACACGTATGATTATCCAGAGTTTCATTATGAAAATTATTTCCATCAAAAGCGCACGCGAAACACCTGCGATTAACTCGCGATTTCACGATTATTACCTCGGCAGCTTGAGAGCCAAGAAGCGCGCTGCGCGCTCTCGTAACGCTTGCCGAAGAAAAGCGTGTCCGATAAATACTTGAACATTACGCCAAACTTCGCGATCGAGTTTCTCTGTAATGCCCGGGGAGCGTGCCTTCTCGCTTATACAGTTAGTCGCATAGTTCAACAGCTTCGTGCACTCGCGGAACACGGAAAAGAATCGTCGAGTCGCGTGTCACGAGCTGCTGCCGCGAGTCGACACGCGGTCTCCCCGCGACGGAGAATTCATTCAGCCGATCGCCGATCGACTTCGAAACTCTCTCGTCGTGTCGCGCGATCTCGGGCTCACGAATGGAATGCCGACGGATGAGATAAGAACGCGCCCCGTCGCATTCGTCCTCGTATTCCTTTGAAAGTGCACGATGACATTTGCTTAGCACCCGACCGGAATGGCGCGAGGAGCTTAATCCGAAACCGTCATACCCGACAACGAGATTTAGCCACTGAGAGAGGTCTCTCTTTGCGAAACGCTCCTCTTTTTCTCTCTTGCCTGTTCCATTTTTTTTATCTCTTTTTTATCGCATTCCGCGCGGCCACGGGGCGACTTTTGAGCGACACCGAGCTCTCTTTCTCTCTCTCTCTCGTTTTGCCTTTTCGCTATCTTTTGTTTTGTCATGAATAAAAGTCGAGACGGCAAGCGGGTAGCAGACCACGGAGCGTAAAGAGCGGGAGTTTGCAGAATCGCCCGGCGGAATAGCGAATCTCCAACGGAAAGAGGCGACGGGGAAAAGAAGCGCGACATCGCGCTTGGCGCAACGATATCAAACGGTGATGTCAGCCGGCCAAGGTGAATCGAGCGTGAGTAGAGTCTCGTTTACGGTCAAAATGAAGTCACGAGTATCGTTGCGACATCAAGTACGAATGATCGGCATGTAATGTCGCGAATATGGAACGGATATTTAGCAAAGCCTGTTAATTTCCATACAATTGCAACAGACTAATAACGCTTCCATGTCTCAAAGTGTGGCCCGAAATGTCAACGTCTCGAGCCTGGAACTTTCCGAATTTGAGGTTCCGTTTTATCATACAACAACACAGATGCGCGCCATTTAACTAATTATTATTACACGGAAAAAATTTCATTTCGTGTAATTAAATAGGCATCGGAGTAAAATTCTCTATCAAAGTAAAAATTTATTTCTCCCTTCTTCGTCTTCTTTAATATTTTAACTTTCTATCTTCTTTAACACGCAAACTGATTAACTGTCAGAATTAATGACTCGACAGCCGCGAACGACACGCGTGAAACAAGCCGCGACAGCCAATCAGCATCGCGAAAAAGGCAGAATAATGACTTCGATAATTTCAAGTATCGATTTTTCATACCTTTTCTTAGAGAGGGATTAGCTGATTGTTACTACACTCAGTTCGTTAAATTAAATAAACGTCAGACTAAAATTTTCCGCTCAAAAATCCTATTTTTCTCTTCTTCGATTTCTTGAATATTTCAAATTTTAATCTTCTTTAACACGCGCAAACTGACGAACTGTCAGTATTCATATAATAATTGACGGCCGTAAACGACAGTCAATGAATATCGCATAAAAGAGACGCTTCAACATTTCGATACAATTCGAGATATTTGATATCACGTATTTTTTTTTTGGACATTGTTATATCGCAATGAAATAGATACAATCGCACAAGATAGAGCGGCGTTCCCGGAAATGTTTACGCGTTAAATATAACTGTTACTGCAATCAAATGGCCCACGTTTAGTATTGCGATCAAACGATCCTACAGAGGAAATGTAACGTTTATAGGTCACGATTACATCCACGCTCTCTCTCCATCTGTTTGACTTCACCTTGCGATCGAAAAGCTCGTGCCATTTTGTCAACGACGAACGGAAGTACCTGTGACGCGCGCGCACGACTCAGTTTTCGGGCCTTTTCGCGAGGTCGTCAGACTAACGGGGGATGGTCAAAAGAGAAAGGAGAGAAACAAAGGAACACTTCGCGCGCTCCGTAACTTTTTTCGCGTTTCAACTCATCGAGAAGACAATGCGTCGGAGGAACGCGCGGATTCGTTCGTTTAAACGGAACAGCGGACTCCGAGTTCCTCGGACGCTTCCGCTATTTCGGAGCCGCTGTAAATTACACAGCGCGTCCGTCCTGGAGTTAACACTTTAACTGACGTGCAAATTCACCGTGGTACAACCGTTATCCGGCATTTCCCGCATACGAATAACGCGCGCTGTAATGATTCAAAACGGTATCGAATTCGGAGAACTGGACGCGGAGGCGGTGACGATTGAGAAATTGCGCACGACCATTTCGTGAGTGACCAAGTGCACATAAGATAAAAGCACCAATGCCAGGACATACGTCTCAATTAGACATTCCTATTACGTCGATGTTCACATGCGAATTTTTAACCGTCTAACGGTAAGGTCGGGGTCATATGCGACCCCACAGCTCGTTTATTTTACAATATGCACGCGCTACTTCTTTTCTTAAGGAGCGCCATTAGAAGCTTAAATATTCAACATATAATGCGTGTGTTCATAGTCGAGAGGGAATTTAAACAGTCGTAGTTAAAAATGAAGAATCTCACACGACACGTACGCGATTATTCGGCACGACGCGCGGAACGATTTATAATTACTTTCACCGGGAGATAATCGATGGTTTAGAAATCACGAGCGCGCGCGACAGCTTCGTAAGGCGCAACTCCGTAATGCCATCGCGTTGGAGATTCTACGAGTGCACTGTGCGCGTATTATTAAGAAATAACGCGTTATTTAGAAATCAAACGCGCCTATCTCGCGCATTAACGCCATCGTGCATTCCGTTATCGCAATGAAAATTCTACAAGCGTCCGGAAATTGCCTTCGGCCAGTGGCGTGCGACTGTCAACGCGATGACGCGTCGCGCGGTTAATAAAGTGGAGGAAAAGGACGAACCTTGAGGACAATTGCATTCGGAGACGTCGCGCTTGATCCTGAAGACCGCGCTGGACTCGGGCTGCGTCTGCACGAGGACGTCCGACGGCTGCTGGCAGCGGGCCTCCAGATTGGCGATCCTGGACTCCAGGAGGAGCTCGCGGTAGTAGAGCACGCCGGACACGGCGAGGCTGGCGACGCAGAGGACACACATCGCCCAGTTGAGGTCCGGGGCCCGCGCACGGCGGGCCTCCTCGCGGAATTTCCTCGGCATCGACGCCTCGAGGCAGCCCTTGCCCGTCGCCGGCACCGACGACCAAGACTCGGCCGTCGGGTCGGTGGGCTCCATCGTCGCCGCTGTGTCGCACGCGCGCACGCACGCACGCACGGTCGTGCCGGGTCGGGGACTCGATGGACGCGGTGTACGCGCTAGGAAGCGTCCCTAAGCGGCGCGGCGCGTCATAACCCGCGCGACGCTCGTCGATACGCCCGTCGATTCGCGCGGACGGAGAGAACGCGAGAACACGGTTGTTACAGACGTCGCGGCGTCATCGTCCATCCGGAGCTCTCACCCCCCCGCCGCTCGTCTCTCACCACTTCGCGAGGATGCCCGGGCGATAACACGAATCGGCGCGCTCGAGAAACGGTCGTATTTGATCGTATGTTCCGCGGCGACCAATCACAGGCCGCCTACGGTACTGTCGCGTATTTCGCGCGCGCTACCACCGTTGACTCGCGCACTTTCCTTCCACACATCGGAAATCGGCCGGGCGTCGTCGATCTCGTGGCAACACGAGCACGCGCGTGCTCGCTCCGTCTTCCGCTCTCTCCCCCGACTTACTGTCGCTCTTTCCGCGTCGAAAGCGGGAGAAACGCGCGCGCCCACCGAGCGCGGCTAACTTCGCGGCGATCGGTGGCACTGCCTTCTCGCTGCTTTTCCTTCCCTTTTTCTTTCTCTCGCGAAGACGAAACACTCGGCGGCGGGAGAGAGAGGGAGACGAGCGCGAAAGGACGAATTCTCTCTCCGTTCTTGTCGCGTCGGGCCCGTAGTTTACGAGGGATAAGCGCGCGGAAGAACGCGCCTACGAAACGCACGATATGGCATTCGCGGTGCGACTGGATGTGGTGGGGCGACGCTCGCCGAGGACAGAGGGTTCGTCGCTTCGGCAACGCTCGACGGCGTTCGTACGTCTTCGGACGCCGCGCGACTCCTCCACCGGACGCGCGTCGAGGACGATCGGTCGACCTAACGTCCACTTCCATTCGCACTGATTCGCCCCCTGCGCTTCATTCTCCAGGCAGCCGCTCGCTGCGCCGCTCGCCACCTACCCCGGCGTGCGGATTCCGGGATATAGCCTCTTTTTGTTTCCCCCTTTTTCCCCGTTCGATGTCCATTATCCACTCGGATTACACGCCGGAGAATTCCGCTTTAGTTCGCGCGCCTGTACACGCGTAAACGGCTTTACGCATCGGCGAGATTGTTTTTCGTCCCGAGCGGAACCGAGCGAGAATCCTGTCGTTCTCATTTACGAACGTCTTGCGCGTGCTGGTATGACGCATCGCGTAGCGCCAGGCTCCCCTAAGCTGCGTGTATATATCGCGAAGGGCAGGAGGAGTCCGTAAACACTTGAAAACTTGCGGCAAAATGTACATACGCGCTTTTCGAAATGTTTTTCGCGGAGGGGGTTATTTAACAACCCCTTCCGTGTGATATTCATTATTAAAATTTTCACCATCTCTGTTCCAACGAACGCTCGCGGTATATTATTCCACGAAGAATTTCAACGCGAAGGTAAAAATTATAAAATGTTAATATTTGCAAGGAATTTTGCTTTTCACTGTTTGTGTCCCGAAAATCATCCGGGGAATATTCCGCGCGTATTCGCGCGCGCACGCAAACGCACTTTTCTAAATTAAAAATATAATCCGCAGTGTGTGTTCTCGAACAACTGCAATGTGTCATCGGATACAACGTGTTTCGCGGCGTTGAAATTTCTCGAAAATGTGCCACGCGTGTAATTAAAAGCGCGCGGGAAGCAAGAAATTCGAGAGGGTGATGCGGTTATTATCAGAAACCAGCCAGAAGTCGACGTCGATATCGATGTCATGTCAACGCCTGAGTCAACGATTAAATGGGAGACCCGTAAATGAGAATCTCATCTGCGTTCCGACTGTACGGAATATGAAATCAGCTTCTAGGCCGGATCGGATTCTCAATAGGGTGAAATTATTGTCAATTTATCTCTGTCCGTTCTCTCGTGTTATCTCTACGTGGAATACCGCGATGAATTAGAAATGCTGCAACCGCTTATAGTCTCTCTGTATAGTCTCAACTTCGATCGCGCAAATTCTAAATAAGGAACAGGGTCTCCCGCCCTTTCCCCTCACACACACACACACACAAAGGCACGCGAAGTATCGCTATCCTGTGAGTTTTATCGAATCACAGTCTTAACCCTCTCGAACGGAACAACTCCGTGAGAAAGGAAGATAAAGGAGGCAAAAAATATTTCATGCATTTCCCCGTTAACCTTGTCCTGTGCGCACAACGTGTACAATATGTCCCGTATTTCTCGGAAAATTTTAATTAAAAAACACTTTTCTCGCTCGCACGACTTCTTGCGCAAATTTAATAACAAACATATTCCCGCGGATATATCTGCAAATATATATTTATTACATTTCGAAGCTCTATATGGAATATCGAGTTTTACGAATTTCTTGCCTCTCTCGAATCCGACAATGGAATACTTTTCATCTCGTTGTTCCCGAATTAGGAATTACAAATGGAAATCTTGCCTTGTGATTACGCGCACCTTTCCACTCGATTTCAGCCGGCAAGTGTATGCGTCGCCGGACGATTGGTTCGTCATGCCTTGGGACAGCGTAATATCCACGCGACTCGGTAGCTATTAATTAGAGGTGGTTCTAGAGGTAGCGCCGCCTCAGGCTAAAGGGCCATGTGAATTCTCGTTTAGCGCGTTCGGCCTCGTTCCTCGCGCATGTGCCATTCGTTTAATTCGAACGCAACGATCTCTCCCCGAGGTCCTTCGGATCGTCCTTTGCATCTTGCCGAGACCTTGGGCGACCGTTTAATTCAAGCGCATAAGGCATGGCGGGGCCGTTACTCATGTGACACGAAGTATACGCGAGGGATACACACACGCTTTACGAATCCTTGACAAACGTAGAATATTTTATGCTTAGACGTACATACAGACGTATATATTGTCCGTTCTGCCTGACGTAATGTAGGGCATATGTTAAATCGTTCCACTTGCGGCCTGCTCCGAGCAACGTCGCTACCCGCTTTCGCCAATCGTGACGATTCGTCTCGGTATGAAATGTGTGCCCCGTAGGGAACTAATGGCAGCGATACTAAAACGAATATCTAGAAGCTCGCGCGACTATCCAAGATTATCCGTCGGATATTTGTTTCGTCTGAGGTTGTACCAATAGCAGCAGCAATTGCCAAACCACCCTGTATCAGGGAACACATTGATCGGCGGAATCGATCGTGTCTCCGGTTGTGTACACGCGCGGCGGATACGTACAACGAGCGACCCCTCGCTACCACCCAATCGGCTAGGCAGAGGAAGCGATTATAGACTACATCCTGGAGCGCTCGCCCTGTGCACGCTTGCTAAATCGAATGTCGGCGCGGCGTGCGCGAGGCGAAATCGTCGCGAGTGCCGGCGAATCGATACGAAAAGCGAGCGTGATTCTCCAAGATGTTTAGACGAATATGTACTCGCCGTTCTTTATTTTCGACGAGTGTTCCTTGACGTCGAGCGACGGCTGCGAGGAGAGTGTTCCGTACTGAATGCCCGCTTCTTCATTACACACGCCCATGAATATATTTATATTATGAAAACGAAATCACAAATTTCGACTGATAGGGTAAAATTGCAAGAGAGAGATAAAGAATAATAATAATAAAATTGGAAATTTAATAGACTCACAGATTCAATAATCAATCAATCAAATGAGATAGGCCTATAAGAGCACATTACGAAATGATGAAGTGTAAAATAAATGAATGAAAAAAAAATATATATATATATATATTCGTGTGATGATACGTTCAAGTTTAAAAGGAATAAGGAAGTATATATAATACCACCTTCTCCTCTAATAATAAGCAGTATAAAAAATTATTTTAACCAATCGACGTAACAGAAAATCTTGATCCGATCTAGAAATGTTCCATTTGAAACCTCGAAATGAAATATAGAAGATGAAGAAAAGTACGACTGTGTTCGCGCGTGTTAACGCCAGTACCACGTGTCGCGTTCGGAAGAAACTACTGTACTTCTAAAATATGAATTGGAAAAAGAGGCATTTGCAGCCTGTGTTGATCAATCGACTTTGTCAAATATTGACCATACGCGTCGCATGTGGAAAACATCGGTTTCCATTTCATTAGGCGAGCAAAGAAAGGACGTGCGTATTCTAATGCGTCCGATTAATCCCGCTAATTGACATCGAGCTGTCGAAATAAGTCTCCGTCGGCGTCCTTTCTAACTGTAACACGAGTACCTCTCTTTCTTTTCCTCTCCATCCTTTTCTCTCACCAAGGCGAAGAGAAAGCAACGCGGCTGAAGGGCGGTCCGATGCACGCGTCGCATTCCAATCTGCTATCGTCGTCCCGAATTCACTCGGGACGACTCGTTTCTCATTTCCCCAGACATCGGTGCGACGCGATCGCTTCGGACAGTGTATACCGTTCCGCGGATAAGGACATTCCTCTCGGCGTCGATATTTCTTACGCCGTCGCCGTCCGCCGTTGCCGCACTTGCTTACACTTAATGTCCAGCTTCCTTCTTTTATCTCGCGGATGGACCAACAGCGGGACTTAAGTACGGACAAATTGCTCCGAGAGTTATCCTCTTACCGCTCGCCGCACTAATCTCTGGATTTTCGAAACGTCTTGTACACGGTTCCCCGACGGGAAACAGCCAACGAACATGGAATTCCTCGGCCCTCTCCCATTAATTCCCACCTCTCGCGTTCTCCCTCGGCTGCCGTTTCCTTATTTTTCGCCGCTCTCATCTCCCGATTTTCCTGCGCTCCGGAGAAATCGGGACCGTGCGCGTAAACTGAGGTAAGCCCGAAGAACCGGCGAGATTTAATACCCCGCCGTACTAACTAAACAAGAACGCGTATCGTTTCGCACGTTCGTGCGAGTTCGAACGAGCGTGCGGTAATTTCGGCGCTGCATCCCGCGATTATAATAATAAACACGTTATACGGCAGTGTATATTCGCGCAGACGGTGCCGACGGTACGCCCCACGCGAAATTAGTTCGCCGGGCGGCGGGTGGAAAAGCGGCGGCAGGCATTGAGAGTCCCTGGCGCTTTTCGTAGGGGTGAGCAGCGTGGGCCGCGATTAAAAAATCATCGCGGCCGATGCCCTCTTCACGGCACGCTGGGCATCGTTGCTGGGGTGCGGTACACGCGTTACGTCGCGCGCGTTCTCCCGCCAGGAAGCAGGCGCAGTCGGTAACGACCTGCCCGCGCCTCGCTTCCGCGCGCCGGACCGCACCGGGAGAACGTGCCTCTCGCGCGGGGAGCGAGATACGCGGAAGGGATGATCGAGAGAGGGAGCGAAAGGGGAATCAGCGGGTATATACCGACGGACACGTTTGCCGCGCTGAAGCAGACTCTCATTTCGAGGGCGAATCCGAAACCAACCCCGCGAATGTGTCTGCACGTGCCGAGGGTGGGAGGTAGCGGAGGTGGGCGAGGGTGCTATGGTGACTGGTGGGGGCGGGGGATGGAGTCAATGCGCAGTTTGTATTCCGCTCGGCAGAAAAGACTCGTTCGTTACACCGTACAGCCCCGACGCACTCGCCGAAACTCGTCGCCGACGTCCTCGTAGCCGTCGTTGGATCCCCCTCGCCGGCTTTATATTCATGACGACGCCGCGCTCGCCGAGATATACGAACTGCGAGCGCGATGTATTAATTTCCCGTTAGGTTCGCGACGATTTCAGCCGACCCGGCTCGCCGTTCTCCTTGTCATCGGGAATTTTCCTTTGAATTTTCACGCACTTAACTTCGAGAATCCGGCTACGGTCGGAAGGAATGTGTCATTTGTCGGGAATAGCGCT